TGATGCTTTCTAAGGCCCACTTGACCTCACATTCCAGGATGTCTGGCTCTAGGTGAGTGATCACACCATTATGATTATCTGGGTCATGAAGATCTTTTGTGTACAGTTCTTCTGTGTGTTCTTGCCACTTCTTTTAACAACTTCTGCTTCTGTTAGGTCCATACCATTTCTGTCCTTTTTCGAACCCATCTTTGCCTGAAATTTTCCCTTGATATCTCTAATTTTCTTGAGGAGATCTCTAGTCTTTCCCATTCTGTTGTTTTCCTCTCTTTCTTTGCATTGATCGCTAAGGAAGGCTTTCTTATCTCTCCTTGCTATTCTTGGAACTCTGCATTCAAATGGGAATATCTTTCCCTTTCTCCTTTGCTTTTCACTTCTCTTCTTTTCACAGCTATTTGTAAGGCCACGTCAGACAACCATTTTTCCTTTTTGCATTTCTTTTCCATGGGGATGGTCTTGATCCCTGTCTCCTGTCAAATGTCATGAACCTCTGTCCATAGTGTCTTTTACAGTACCACAATTTGAAAGAATCAGTTCTTCAACGCTCAGCCTTATGGTCCAACTCTCACATCCATGCATGACTACTGGAAAAACCATAGCTGTAACTATGTATATGGTTCTTTGTCAGCAAAGCAATGTCTCTGACTTTCAATTTGCTGTCTAGGTTTTTCATAGCTTTCCTTCCAAGGAGAAAGCAGACTATTTGTGAGTTTTAGCCTAAAGTTTTTCAGGTGCTTCTTATGGGTAGGTGTTTTATGGATCATCTAAACTTTGGTTTTTAAAAATGCCATAAATAAATACTGTAGGTGCTTTACAGTTTTTGCTAAGGACTCTTTCTGTTTTAAAATTTTGTGATTGGCATGTGATATGTAATGAGCAGCTAATTTGCTGTTCATTTATTGAAATTTCCCCTAGCACTTTATTTCTAAATATTCTGCTTTGTATTTTATTGAAGCATAGTTGATTTACAATGTTGCGTTAATTTCTGCTATACAGCAAAGTGATTCAGATATAATATAAGTTCTTATTCATGTTTTTCCATTATGTTTTATAACAGGATATTGAATATAGTTCCCTGTGCTCTATAGTAGGACCTTGTTGTTTATTCCTTGAAAACTTCAGATTCTTGTGTTTTATCTTCTCTACTGAATAGGATTTGCCCAATAACATGATCCATCAGGTGCCAATTAAATCACTCCCTCAAGAATGGCTTTGGTGTGAAACGTGGTGTGATGATGCCTCTAAGAAAAGGGCAAAAACAATTGATTTGGTAAGTTGTCTGTGGCTGTTTCTGCATTCAGTCCAGTCTGATGTATAACTAGATAATTTGGTCTTTCTCTGTAATTGTGTAATTCAGGGGTTGCAGGACTTCTTACAGTAACCTCAGCAGGAAGGCAAATCCTCTATTGTCTGATGGGGCTGTTTTCACTGTTTAGAATCCGTGAGGTTACCCTTTGTCTTCCAGATCACTCTGTACCTTGTAGTTTTTCCAAATGGACTTTCTCTTTCTGCCTTCCAGTAGCGCTCCACGACTTCTTTGCAGAAGCTTTGTGCAGCCCCTACCACATTGCTTCTCATATCATTGTTCCTTTTGTCCAGTTAGGACCTATAACCCAAGAATAGAAACACCTCTGAATGCTATATAATATACCCTTCCTTTAACTTGGCTGAAGTGTGTTATTTTGAATTTCACAGTGTAATAATCCAATGACCAAAGAGCCCAAGCTGGAGGCTGCTGTTCGAATTGTCCCAGAGTGGCAGGACTATGATCAGGAGATCAAACAGCTACAGCACCGCTTTCAGGAGGAGAAGGAAATGGGAGTGCTGTATGGAGACAAGACAGCAAAGGAGGCAAGACGAGAAGGTATGTATAGGTCTTTGGCTTTAGGTAGGTACTTCTTGGCCTGTCTGATTTCTGTTGCAGAAACAGAATCTTCTCAGAACAAGAAGAATCAGTTATTCAGTCTTCCATTGTGACATCTGGTAGTCTGTATTTTTCACTTTGTTTATTCAGTTGGGCTTCTAGACAGTATTTATTAATGTAATTGCTGCCTTTTTTTCTTTTTCTTTCTCCCATCCTTCTTCCTCCCTCCCTCCCTTCCTTCTTTTGTTTTCTTTCTTTTTTTTTGAAGAAAGAGTGCTTTGTGATTATTATTGTTTAGGTTTATGAGTTTTGTGATACATGACATACACTGGTTTCTCTACTATGTGTACATTTTGAGTGGTAGCCAGTCCAAAAAAATTGTTAGAATACAAAAAGTGACTTTATATAAACCTTTAATAAGCTTCACTCTGGATTTTAATTTATTCAGCTCAAAACTAATTCTAAAAAAGCAATTATAGAAATGGATCTTGAGTGATTCACCTAAACATCCTGAAGACTATACCATGATATTAAAATCACAGCTGAAATGTTGGATATTCACCATAAAAATAATTAAATTCATCAGTAAAACCTAAGGATTTTCATAAATAAATGGGTAAAGAATGTAGACATACTGTTTAAATAAGACAAAAGCACAAATAATAAATGAATTTGAAGAAACGGTAATCAAATTAAAGGACTCTAGCATTACTATTACTACAGAGAAAAGTGTGTACATATTGGTAATGCCGGGTTTCTCTGGTGGCTCAGACAGTAAAAAAATCTGCCTGCAATGTAGGAGACCCAGGTTTGATCCCTGGTTCAGGAAGATAACTTGGAGAAGGGAATGGCTACCCACTCCACCGTTCTTGCCTGGAGAATTCAAGGGACAGAGGAACCTGGCAGGCTGCAGACCATAGGGGCACAAAGAGTTGGACATGACTGAGCAACTAACACTTTAACCTTTGGTGATTATGCCATTTATTGGGGAAGATGGTGGTGAAACTCTTCTGGGTGAATCTTGTTGAAGCTTTGTGCTTAGAAAAATCCTTGTTAAAAGGCAGTAAATCAGTCATCAGGATTCATTAAAATTTTATATCCTCAACAATTCCTCTCTTGAGAATTTACCTTGGAAGAAATAATTGAATACAATAAAGAAGTTATATACATGGAGAAATTTATTTTACTATTTTTTTTTAAGGCATTGTAAAATAGTTTAAACACCCAAGACTAGAAAATGGTAAATTACACTGCTACAGAGGAAAATTTATACATTATTAAGTGAAAAAAGAAGAATCCTGACTAAATATATGTGCATTTTTACTAGAAGTAAATATTGTACTTGTGAAAACAATTTAGAGGGAGTAGGGGTATACAGTTAGTTTCAGTGTTCTTGAAAATAAATATGTCTTTTTTGTTTTTGCTTTCAAAATATGACACAAATACACTAAACCAAAGCTCCTAAAAATTAAAAAAAGAGAGATACAGTGAAGGTGGAGCACAAATAATAGCTTTCAATAGCAGAAAATGCCCAGAATAACAATAACAGAAAATGTCTGTACTGTATAACTTGACAGGGATCCATTTTTTCTCCACTTGCTCTCCTTTTCCATAGGACCTCAGACCCATGAGGAATTATGATCTCCAGAGGAGGATAGGAAATCACACCATTTGAAAAACACTTTTTCTATTAAATGCTAGTTTTTTCCAATCTGTCTATACAACTGCTGATGAACCGACTGGGCAGGAGTGCTGCCCTTTCATCCTGACTCCCGCGGGCTGACAGCTCTGGATCTCTGGGGTTAAGGCTCGCTACTAGATTCCAACCTCAGAGGAAGACAAGGAACTGATCTCTGGGGGACTCTATGAAGAGCAGGCCTCTCACCAGAAGAGAAGATGGCAAAAGCAACTGGAAGAAGAACAAGCCCACATGTGCTGCAGTGTCACACGAGGCCACTAACCGGAGCCGCCGTGTCCTTCCTTACCTCAGTCCGCGGGGAGGCGCAGCGGAGCTCCGTCTGCAGCCGGGGCCACCCGTCCGGGCGGATAGTGGATGGGGCGGTGGCGGCTGTCCGAGCATCACCGGGTTTGCGTCGGTGGGCTCTGTGCCCTTCCCCAGCATCAGGTTCATTGTTAAATTGAAACCCAACGAACAATCATGTGTTTCAGGCTAAGCTCGGGGCAAATTAATTTGGGGAGAGGATGGGGGTGGATTGGGGTGAGGGTCGGGAAAATAGCAGCAGTAGGAGGGCTCTGGAGTGTTGGGGGTGGGGTCATGAGGAAAACCAGAAATTGGCCGTTCTGTTTTATAAACCGTCAGAACCATTGTGACTAATATGAAATGAAGACATTATTCTTATTCTGCACCCAGCCCCAGTGAACTTTTTAAGTAATTGTTTTGTAAGCAATTTTTGTATTTGCAAGTCTCTGCTTTCTCTTCCCACTTTCTTAAAAGAAGTCTGTTATTTCCTTACTGGATACAGCCATAGTAAGCCCCTCTCGTGATCCACCTTGAGGGGCTCAGAACTCCCTCAGCAAGGTCACCACGTCATTTACCCGCTGCTTCTCTGCAGCACTTTTGTCTCTCAGACCCAGGGGAAGTCGGCTTTGTCTTTTCTCTCCAAAAGACTCCCAGATCTGAGACCAGGAGAAATTTTGATTGTGTAATTCATGTTTTTCTATACACTGGTCTGTAGTTCTTTTAGTTTAAGCTGGCAGACGTTGCCAGCGTTCCCCCCGTTCTGACTCCACAGAGTTGCTTCTTGAAGCAGGTTGGACTCATGAGTCATGGCTTTTTGTGTCTTTAGCAACCCAGAACAGCCCTTCCCTAGCAGCCTGTCCTGCTGGGTGGGCAGCGCTGGGAGGCGCCCAGAGGAGTCTTCCGGTTGTGTGAGACTGCGGGTCCTGCTCCCCATCTCCCCAGGCTGCAGGCTACAGCAGCAGAGCAGTCCGTGGACTGTGCCTCCTTCCAGTGTCTTAGGACAAATATTGAGTAATTAATTTTTTCCATATTCATATGCAGGCATTAGTTCAGGAGTCTGTAAGTCTGAAGGAGCTTTTGAGTTTGCTTTTGTAAAAACTGGGGAGGAGGGACTTGTAGATAAATTGATCCAAGACTAAAAAGGTC